ATTACCTTAATCCCCAAACCAGGCAAAGACCCCAACAAAAAGGAGAATTTCAGACCGATATCCCTGATGAATATGGATTCCAAAATCCTCAACAAAATCCTAGCTAAGAGGATCCAACAATACATTAAAATGCTCATCCACCACGACCAAGTGGGATTTATCCCTGGGATGCAAGGGTGGTTCAACATTCGCAAATCAATCAATGTGATAGAACACATTAATAAGAGGAGAGAGAACCATATGGTCCTCGCAATTGATGCAGAAAAAGCATTTGACAAAATACAACATCCTTTCCTGATTAAAACTCTTCAGAGTATAGGGATAGAGGGAACATTCCTCAAGTTCATAAAATCTACCTATGAAAAACCCACAGCGACTATCATCCTCAATGGGGAAAAGCTGAGAGCCTTTCCCTTAAGATCAGGAACACGTCAAGGATGCCTACTCTCGCCACTATTGTTCAACAGAGTACTAGCAGTCCTAGCAATAGCAACCAGACAAGAAAAAGAAATAAAAGGTATTCAAATGGGCAAAGAAGAAGTCAAACTCTCTCTTTTCGCAGACAACATGATACTTTATGTGGAAGACCCAAAAGACTCCACCCTCAAATTGCTAGAACTCATACAGCTATTCAGTAATGTAGCAGGATAAAATTTCAATGCACAGAAATCAGTTGCTTTCTTATACACTAACAATGCAACTGTAGAAAGAGAAATTAGAGAAACAATTCCATTTACAATAGCACCAAAAACCATAAGATACCTCAGAATAAACCTAACCAAAGAGGTAAAAGATCTATACTCTAGGAACTACAGAACACTCATGAAAGAAACTGAAGAAGATACAAAAAGATGGAAAAATATTCCATGCTCATGGGTCGGAAGAATAAACATAGTTAAAATGTCTATGCTACCCAGAGCAATCTATATCTTCAATGCCATCCCGATCAAAATTCCAATGACATTTTTCAAAGGGTTGGAACAAACAATCCTAAAATTTGTATGGAATCAGAAAAGACCCCGAATCGCCAAGGAAATGTTGAAAAAGAAAAACAAAGCTGGGGGCATCACGTTGCCCGATTTCAAGCTATATTACAAAGCTGTGATCACCAAGACAGCATGGTACTGGCACAAAAACAGACACATAGACCAATGGAACAGAATAGAAAGCCCAGATATGGACCCTCTCTATGGTCAAATAATCTTTGACAGGAGCACCTGGGTGGCTCAGATGGTTGGGCGTCTGCCTTCGGCTCAGGTCATGATCCTGGGGTCCTGGGATCAAGCCCCGCATCAGGCTCTCTCCTCGGCGGGGAGCCTGCTTCTCCCTCTCCCACTCCCCCTGCTTGTGTTCCCTCTCTCGCTGTGTCTCTCTCTGTCAAATAAATTAATTAAATCTTTTTTTAAAAAGTTTCATGAAATAGTTTTCCATCCTTTTAAATTCCATTCTCATCAGTTAAAAACTGAAAAAGAAAAAAGTTTATACGATAAATCTCTCAGCTAAATAGTAAAAGTTATTTTTTTCCAAATAAAGTCTATAGTTTCCTTGAGTTTTTAGAAATTTCTCTATGTCATTTTTATTTAGATAACCCATATAGACTAATAGTGAGTTGAATTGTGTCCCCCAAAGTGATATGTTCAAGTCCTAACCCCAGGACCTGTGAATGTAATCTTATTGGAAGTAGGATCTCTGCTGATATGATTATGCTAAGATCATAAGATCAGCTTGGATTTAGGGTGTCCAGCAACCAGTGTCCTTGTAAGAGAAAGAAGAGGGAGAATGGTGACACCAGGGAAGACAGCTGTGTGAAGATGTGGGCAGACACTGGGCTGATGAGCCCCAAGCCAAAGCCAAGGACTGGCAGCCGGCACCAGGAGTGGAAGGGGCCAGGGCAGACAGTTCTCTTCAGGGTGTCCCGAAGGAACCAATCCTCCAACACCTTGATTTTAGACCTGCAGCCTCCAGAACTGTGAGAGAATAGATTTCTGTTGTTTTAAGCTGCGAAATTTATGGTGATTGGTTGCAATAGCCCTAGGAAACTAACACAAAACCTTTTTAAATATGTTGAGGACAAATGGGTATGTATCAGTCTCTATTCCAAATCCATCATAAGACACGTGTGTCTAACATGTAATGTATGTTGGGGAGAGGAAGGGAAGGCAATTTCATTAAAATAAAAACATTGAGGGGCACCTGGGGGGCTTCGTCAGTTGAGCGTCTGACTCTGGATTTCGGCTTAGGTCATGATCTCAGGGTCGTGAGATGGTGCCCCAAGTTGGGCTGCACGCTGGGTGTGGAGCCTGCTTGAGATTCTCTCTCCCTCCCTGTGCTCCTCCCCCACCTCTCTCGCTCTAAAAAAAATAAATAAATAAAAATCTAAAAACCGATTTAAAACAATGAAATGAAATAAGTACACTGGGCCAGTCCACAGGGTGGCGGGTGGTGTCCTGCCAGCCTGCAGTGGGGCTGGTGGCCGCCACGCTTCGTGCTCCTTGGCGCTTCCACACTGTGCTCCCACAGGAGGAAGCAGCAGAAAAACAGTCTGACATCAGCTAAGAACCTGAGGCAGGATTCACTGGAGCTGAAGGGAAAGTGGACGTTCCTGTTGGCGCCATAAGTACCTGTGGATTGTGGCAGGAAAAGTGAAATGGGTCACTGACGTTGAGACGTCAGTGCTGATAAATAACTTTGAAAAGTGGACGGATCCAAGTGACAGAAAGTGAGGGCTGGAATTTTTACTGGATGAGTGTGCAAACCAACCAAAACATCTGTCGTGTCCAAACTGGCTATCGGCTCTCAATCACACAGTCAACCATTTTCTGAACCAAACCGACCCAGAAGGATCTGATGGTGAAGAATGTGAAAAGCCACAGGAGGCAGCTGGAGAAAGACGGGGGTCCTCCAGCAGAAAATGATGAAAACAGAAAACACCTCGTGCTGCCCTGCTGACCACAGCCTGTCTGTGGACAAGTTCAGGAACAGTCCCTCCCGGATCACGAAACTGTGTGGCAAAGCCCAGGGGACGGGCATCCTTCTGATCAACAAGCACTCGCAGATCAAAACATGGTCCCAGGACAGCAAAATGGCTCCCTCTGTGAGCCCATCGCTAAAGCAGCCCACGCGACCCCTCCGGACATCAACATCCCATGACTAAGCGGCGGGAGCAAGTTCGACCTGCGCTTGTTCTGATGTCTCTGTGCCGCCCGCTCAGCAGCTCGGTGAGCATGGCTCGACCTGGATTCCGCCACTTTTGCTCAGGGAAACGCAGCCCAGTGAGCTGGACATGGTGTTTGCTTGTTCATTCGTGTCACCGTTCAGAAGCACGTCCCCGGGGAGGGGCCAAGAGCGGCCGCGGCATGCTGCTGGACGGGGTGCACTGGGCCGTGGCACAGTCAGGGGAGGCCGCGGTGTGGAGAGGAACAGCGACCGCAGCTCTTCCAGGGCCACGGCCGCGACACCGTAGCAGATGACAAGCTGAAGTGCCGCTGGCGGAGGCATCCGGATCTCACCTCCAGCACCACCAGCAACCAGATCCTTAAGTAGAAGCTGATCAGTGACACCCCCCACACTGCGGCTCCAAACCGTGAGACCACAAACTGCCCACGAGTTGCCCTCGAGAAGTCCCGGGCCATCATGAAGTGTGTACGATGAAGAGCTGGCGCAGCAGGATGGAGCTGGGCGGGGGCGGGGGGGGGGCTGAGAAGTCGTCAGGGCCACTCACTGGGGCCCAAACTGGCCGCCCGAGAGACGCGGGACGTCCTCACGACCAGGCAGTGACCGCTAGGAAGCACAGGAGACGGCAGCCTGGACCCTGCCAAGTCCTCCCTGCACCAGGGCCTAGTCTGAAATGCCCTTTTTCTAGAGCCTTTTCCCTTCCTAAACCCTGTGAATAAATAAAGGCACTTCTTTGGAAGGTTAAAAATAATAATAATAAAATAAGTACATTGTTCCCTAAGATATCAAAAAGGAACACTCCCAGTTAAATACTTTGATCTGGTATTTTACTCATTAGTGTTGTTACCTGGTGATTCACAGAAAATGCAGCATGCAGCAATTCCTACACGGGAGGCAATTTGTGCAATGATTGATAAATGAGTAAAGAAATAAATTAATGTGTGACTAGGGTTTAAAATAATCATGCCTCACCAAAATTAATGCATGAGTGTCTTTCATAGCGCACACATTATTCTCATTAAAACAGATTTTATCTTCATGTGTGACAACATTAACCAGTTTCCACAAGAATGAGTCTAGGGTCTCACGACTGAAGACCAACCGACACACCGCGGAGGCACTTACATGTCTGTCCTCCGCTCCAGAAGCCACATAGCGTCCACAAGGGCTGAAAGCAATCCCACATGGATATCCGTGGTTTGGATGTCCTTCAAAACAGCACTCGCATCTATAGGAAAAAAGAAACATCAGGAGAAAAAAATGATTTTTTATTTTTAACACAAATTAGGGCAAAGACACTGACTTGTAGCCTGTCTTCACAACAATGAACAAACCAGCACTGAGACAGCACGCTCACATGTGTTATTAAAGGCAAGCAGGTCATTCTGAAGATCTTTAAAAATATAGAACAAACGTTTTCAAATGATAAATTATTTGGATCAGTGATCCAAAGACTTCTGGGAGGTGCAACACTCTAACAAGGCTGGTCAAGCGCCGCAACCAACTTGCTACAAAGTGTTACATATAACCTGTTTATTGATGCTGGTTTTCCCGAGAAAATCACCTATTTGGGGGTGGCCAGAGCCGCCCAAGGAGAGCCTTCACAAGCGCTAACCAGCACATGGCTGGGCTCCAGGGGGTCCACGACGCCAAACAGAGGCCCCCGCCAGAGATGGCTCAGGGAACACGCCCTCATACATCAGAGGGGCTTTTATATTTGCTTAGCGATTACAGAGGAGAGCAGAGACACTGTTCATTCTGCCCTTGCCATCTTTAAGTGTGCATACGCACAAATATTGATACTTTTTTATATACGTTATATATTTAGTGATTATTCCCCATAACAGAATTATCTTTTTAGAGAACAGGAACATACATATATATGCATTTGCATCACTGTGGTTTATGAGCATCTCATTACCTCCCTGTGCATCTCTGACCCTCAGGGGTCACAAGGCACACGCAGAGCAAACACCAGCACCTTTCACGTTAGCATTCCAAATTGGTGTGACCTGTTCTGTGTATAAATCATACTTTTCTTAGATGGGTCAGCGTGAGTAGGTTCACCACAACCTTGTCGTATTTGGAAAAAAGAGATCCAACTAAGTTTACAGATACTAAGGCCGCATGCCTCAGGAGCTATTAACAGAAGCGTGTCTCGTGTGCTCCCACCTGCAGCCTGCAGGCCAGGGCGGGGCCTTACCTCAGGGTTCTCAAGTCCCACAGCTTTATGCCATCCCCAGTGGCTGTGGTGGCGAAAAGGTTATAAAGCTGGTGCTGTTGGGTTATAAATGATGATCCCTAGAATTGTAAGGGGAGGAAACAAGATGTGTTCTTTAAAGGCTGAATTAATAAATATTATACTGATGCTATCTAACAACAGTGAATCTAAAGTAAGAAACTGACACAAAGTTTTTTTTTCTTATTTATAACAATTTCAGAATTGGCCTCCAAAAACTTCCTTATGAATAATTACTAATGGTACATTTTGACCTTAGGAAGTGTATGTTTTCTATATATGAAATGCCACCAAGAGTTATAAAAGTACAATAAAAGATCAAAAGACTACAATATGAATATACCAGAATTTATTTTTAAAGTATAGATCATAATCCGTCTTCAACAAATTATCTGAACGATGCCCTGAATGGGGCATTTGAAGTTTGAGGTCAGTTATTAATCTGCCAGTTATCAAACCCTAAGGTCTCCATGCAGGAGTCTATGCACATGTCCCTGGCTGGGGTCCCTTTGAGGACCTGCCTCTGACCTGATCATCACCTCCCCTCATGCTGCAGTCAGAAGAAAGGCCTCAGCAACTTAAAATATCCCCTGGAAGGAGCTGAACTGCACTCCACCTACAGAACCATTTTTGGACCCAAACATTATATAATTACGGTTCATAACAATGTCCATCTTCCTTCCATGCCAAGAATATCCAAATTATTTAAGAAAAATGTAATGAAGTATATCTGAAAGCATTTATCCTTACAGTGTGCACATACCTCAAGGTTGTTCTTCAGTTACAAATAGGAAATGAAGGTTTATATAAATTCAACAGCAAACTAACAGAGAGAGTCTTAACTCTGCGCCAACAGCATTCTAAACCTGAACATTTCATCCTCTTAACAAACTTATGAGATGTAAACTATTTTATACCCATTTCAGGTGAGAAACACGACACAAAGGAATCCACTCATAGCCACCCAGCTACTAATTCAACATAGCTTAGCAGTCCACAAACGAGCACAAGGTCAAGACACCTTGATAACTCATACCATCCAAACAATTCAACAGACATCCAACAAACATCCCGAGATCATCTACTAAACATTGAGCACTTTGCAAGGCACTGAGTCTTAGAATGAGACACAGATCTAGTTTAACAGAAAGCAGAGTTATACTACCTTACAACATTGCTAGTTTCTTGAAGTTAACCAGTAAAAAACCAAAAGCATTCACAGGGATAAAAAGAGAATTAAAACCTTTTTTCAATCAATCCAAATGAGGCTAAGGAAGAAGAAATGAATAAGCAAAGAAAATTCATGATAAATAGAAAATACAGTTTTTTTTTAATGTAGAAGAGAATGCACAAAATAAGATCAAATGTGTAAGCATACCAATTATAAACAGACAAAACTCAACAAGTTAAAAAAAAGAAGAGATTCTTAGTTGGATTTCAAGAAAAACACTTAAAACATCATTTTTAGGGGCACCTGGGTAACTTAGTCCGTTAAGCATCTGCCTTCGGCTCAGGTGATGATCCCGGGGTCCTGGGATCGAGCCCCACGTCGGGCTCCCTGCTCCGCGGGGAGTCTGCTTCTCCCTCTGCTCCTCCCCTCATTTGTGCTCTCTTTCTCTCTCTTCTCTCAAATAAATAAATAATATCTTTTTAAAAAATCACTTTTAAAGGCTGAATGTGAAGGGTGGGAGAAAAATAGCATATGCTAAATAAAAGGCAAGATTGATTGCAAAAGTACTAGAAAAAATAGATAAGGCAAATAAAACCTCATTAAAAATAGTTTATAGATATTATAAAAGGTACACTGCAATGAAAACATAAGAAGTCTGACTTAAATATACCCAATAACACAGCCTGTAACTATATGGAGCAAAAATTAATAGAATTATAAGAAGAAATTGACAAGATTACAATCATAGGGAGAGATATTAATACATTTCTCTAATTAAAAAAAACAATCGAGGGTACAAAAAATTAGGAAACCTGAGTAACTTGAATACAATTAATAAGGTTGGGTCAGTAGACATCTATGCAAACACGTACCCAGTGGTGGGTGAGAACATATTCTTTTCATGCACACATATATGATATCCATAAAAATCAACCAGAGAGCCAAGTTTCTCAATAGATACAAAAATCCCAACAGGTAGAAGAGAATCAGTGCCATATAGATCACATGCTCCAAAGACAATGCCATAAAATTAGAAATCAGTAACAGAAAGTTTACCAAAAACAAGCTCATACATGTAGAAACCTAAAAGCACACATCTAAATAAAGTCTAGGTTAAAAAAAGTCCTAATGGGAATTAGAAAATGTTTACTACTGAATAATAAAAATAGCACCTGCTACAAGTGGTACAGGGCAACTAAAGCAGTACTCAGAGGGAAATTCATAGGCTTCAATGCACACATTGCAAAGGTGTAAAGATGGGTTAAATTCATACCTACAGTGTCAAGAAAAATCAGGTAGCACAGAGATACGAACAGTTTGCTGCCATCATGCAGCCCAAAATGTATTTTGATGCATACTTGGGAAAGAGTTACACCAAATTCAGTTGTGGTAATCAAAGAAGAATCAGACAGAAAGATACAGAGCATAATTGTGTCTGTCCCCACAAGCATTTCATTTCTTTAAAAAAAAAAATACAAGAGGGCGCCTGGGTGGCTCAGTTGGTTGAGCGACTGCCTTCGGCTCAGGTCATGATCCTGGAGTCCTGGGATCGAGTCCCGCATC